TAAAATACATAAAAAATATGTGACATTAAAAATATATATAAAATATACATATAAATATATATACCAGTTGGTTTGGTTAATCGTCAGTTTTTTTGTAGGTTAACTGAAAACCAAACCGGTCCTTCGGTTTTTAAAAAATTCCGAACCAAAACTGAACCAATCGGTTCGATTAACCGCATTTTGTGGTTCGGTTTGATTTTTGGGTTTTTCAGTTTTTCATGGACATCCCTTGTTACTATCTCCTTTTTTGAGCTAGAGAAGTCTAGATTTTTGCTTCCACATGAGTTCCTCTCTAGTTAGCTCTGTGTCAAACTCTTGTTACGTACTCTAGGCTTTTTCTATGTTAATCAAGTTGCCGGGTCTATTAAAAATTCATTGCAACTTGGCTTTAGCATCCTGAATTCTTGCTTTGATATGACCAAACCGAGTTACATTCCACCATTCGAGGTCTTTCCTATACTGCCTCAAATTCCTACCCAGTCTATGACCCGGTCTACTACTCAACTGGATTGCTAGGCCTTGCTAATAATTGCTTCACACCTCGGGTGGTCCACCCACATTGCCTCAAAGTTAAAAGGTCTGATCCACTTCCACACAATTAGTGTAACATTTAAAATAATGGGAGCATGATCTGAACCTATTATGGCCTCATTGAATACCACCGCTTCTAGGTACAAGGTTCTCCACTCCTCATTGGCGAAAAAATGGTCCAGACGCTTGAAGATCACTTCTTCCCCTTGGCTCTAATTGGACCACCTTGGCAATCATCCATCATCTTCTTCAAGTCCCGAGTGCTACGGTCCCCAGCCAAGTTTCCACCTGACTTCTCGTTCATGCTCGCCACTACATTGAAATCACCCATCACAATCTAAAGATAACTATTTCACAAAGATTATTCCAAACTACTTTTTGCTGCTTTCTGACGGGATCTCCGTAAACACACGTACATCTCCAAGTCACCCCCAATTGCTTGACCTGGATTAAGGTGTCTATGATTTTGTTGGAAGAACTCAACTCCACAACTTCTAGCTCTGCTTTTCAAGTAACTATAAGGCCACCAGAGTTTCCTTCCATCTTTACCAAAACATTATAGGAACTTGCACAACTTCTTTGATTGAATGTTTGTTTCACTTAAGAAAACTAGGTGGGGCATATGAGAATGGAGGTGTTCTCCTAGGTGCCAAATTGCCAGGGGCTGCCCCAGTCCCTAGCAATTCCATCTAAATGCGATCATTGTTTCCGACAAACCTGGCTCTCATCCAGGGTCGCCAATTTCTCTGAGGGAGATCTTCTGTACCTGATTCCGGCGTCTACCATGAAGCTACCATTGTTGGAAGCACATTTGTAACAGTAAGTTGGAAACCTTTCATACCTGAATTGAATCCACAGGGCTTCCCGGTCCTTCCTTTTCAAAGGTTGGCCTAGCACCAGGCTCTTGTTAATGTCTAGCTCCACTCTAACCCGAATGTAGTTCCTCTATTCCTTGTTTTTGCCCTGTAACTGGACCTGAAGAACCTGCCAGCGATGTTGCTGAACATCTGAGCCATGGATACCGTCATCTAGCCAAGAGGCAAACCATGAAGTTGTATCCAAATCTGGCATTTCCTCAGCTCCTATCTCTTCTATCCCCAACCTAGAGATGCAGGGTTGATGGATGATGAGACTGTTCATGAAAGACCAAGGTCCTTTATCTATGAAGCCCTGTCTAGCCTTTTTTTTATGGGAAAAAGACTAGAAAACGGTCAGCCACTAATTCACTGACCTTGATGTTGTTCCCCCATGCTTGTCTGATCATGATCTTGACTCCGATGTGGTTAATCTATTTCCTGGTAAACACCTTGCATACCAACGCATATCCGAGCCCCGGTTGAAAGATGCTCGTCTCAGTTGATTCCGATTCTTCCATAATACCTTCCTCCATATTACAATAGAGAGGAGAAGATGGCTTACATTGCACTGGTAAAGATTAAAACATTCACAGTTACAAACAGAGAAAAAGTTGTCAACACTTGAACGAAACAAAATTGTCCATTTTAATAATAGATTTTTATGATTAAAATGGCCATTTTTTTATTTGTAACTTCTGGGACCTAAAGGGTAAATTTCATAATTACCCTATACTTTGGGTTAGTCCCATTCTTTTACCTATGGATTTTGGACACAAACTAGTGGTGATAAAGTAAGTCCATCCCAATATTTATTGGGGATGGTCTAACTTCTGATCACTTACTTTGCCGCCGTTAATTTGTGTCCAAAGTCCAAACGTTAATTTGTGTCCAAAGTCCAAACGTAAAAATAATTAGAACATGAGCATTTTTGTAATTTTACCCCTTAATGGAATTTTACTTAAATATATATTTCTGACAACTTAGATATTAAAAGTGACACATTTAAAAGTTTAAACCCTAAAATGAAACTTTCCAAATTATAAGATACCTATCTACAATTTACTTCAAACCCCCTTTCACCTTGGAGTTGGACCCATGAACTAGGGATATAATATCTTTGGAGTCTTAGAATATTCAATCGTTCTCCTATGTCACCATGCCAAAGGCGGTTCCTTAATATAATATAACAAATAACAAAATATAAAGTAGGTAAATTGCATGGCCTATTTTAGGAGTTTTTTTTTTTTTTTTGGGAAAATTTCTGAACAATACCCTAAACTTTGGGGGTTGTGTCAAGTTAGTCCTTAAACTTCAAAATATGTCTCTACAGTACCCTTGAACTTTCAAATTGTGTCTAATAGGTCCCTACCGTTAGTTGGCCGTTAGCCAACACCATCACGTGACATCGGGTGCGTATTAAATAATTTCAAAATGGCAAAATTACCTTTTATGATATTTTTTTGACCATTTTACCCATTTTGTCTAAGTGTTAAAAGAAGGAAAGGAGAAGAAGGGTTATGAAATTGGACACCGATCAACTGTTGAAACTCCCACTCTCCTATTCAATGATCAACTGTAACTGGACGATCACCTATCCAGTTTCATAACCCTTTTTCCCCTTTCCTTCTTTTAACACTCAGATGAAATGTGTAAAATGGTCAGAAAAATATCATGGAGGGTAATTTTTCCATTTTGAGATTATTTAATATGCACCTAATGTCATGTGATAGTGTTGACTAATGATAGGGACCTATTAGACACCATTTGAAAGTTTAAAGTACTGCAAAGACACATTTTGAAGTTCAATGACTTGACACAACCCCCAATATTTAGGGTACTGGTCAGGAATTTTCCTTTTTTTTTTGCCAAAGGCCTACTTCATTCAGGAGTTCGATAACTTGCTTTCTGCCCTTTTTTTTATTTTTTTTTTATATTATGATACCCATACCCAACCAAAATTAATTAAAAAACTTAAAATCTCGTTATATCGCTTGGGGCTAGGATTTGAGAGTGCAACTTGACAGGCTCGTTATATCGCTTGGGTGTCCAAATTGCACCCCCACCAAGATTTTTTTTTCCTGCTCTTGGGAGAACATTTTGACAGCCTAGATTTTTGGGTTGATTGGATACGTTTGGATAACCCATGTTAGTTAAAGCTTTGGTACATTACTTGAATGATTGTGATCAGCTCATTGATCTTAGGAGACCAGTTTGATGGCCTATTGATTGGATGCATCATTTATCATTTAGATGGGTTTAGCTTAGATGAAATCTTAGTACATCATTTGGACAGTTGGAATTAATTGCTTGGTCTTAGGATGCTATTTTGATAACCAAGATTTTAGGTGTTGTTTGTTATATTAAATTTTGGTGCTTTACTTGAATGGTTGAGGTTAATTAAAACCTTGGTACATTGCTTGCATGATCAGTATTAATTCGGTTTCTTTTTTTTTCTTTTTTTTCTTTTTTTTTTTTATGGGTATGGCAAAGACAACTTTGGCAAGATAGAATGCACCAAATTATCATTGATCCATTCTAACCCTTGTGGAGGTGGGATCTGATCCAAGTCTCCACATAAACCTGCCCAGAGAGGCAGAAACCTTGCCAACTGAGCCAGTTGGCACATTCAAGTTCTTAGGAATTAACTTCCATATATATTAATTTGAGGCAATTTTCCTAATAAAAAAAAAGCATACAAATAAAGTAGAATACACATTAGATCATTTGCATATGAAAGGAAACATACAAAATTCTGGAACCTGTTTTATATTCTCAAAAGTTCGATTAATGGATTGTTTAATATTGATAGATTTACGCAAATGGGTTCTGTATTTGTTTTTGCTGATGTGACACTTATGTTTCAATGGTTTTTGCTGACATGAAATTTGTTTTATTGTTTGAAAAAAAACAACAAAATCATGGATCTTAAAAATATATTAAAAGAGTTTGGATCTGTTTCTCACGCTCCTTACACCGACCTTACACCATGTTCCAGTGGTACATGAGAAACATCTACTGTACTTGTATATTATTATTTATGGGGATTTTTCTAATACACAGTGAGATGTGACTGTGAGATCAGTGTGAAGAGCATATCTCAATTCATGTGGAAAGAGTTCGAATTGATTCCTCACAGAATGCCCCACAGCACACCTCATCATGCATTAGGAACAAAATCATGGATCTTAATGGGGAAATGTTCGGAATGCACGTCTAAACCGATGATCCCCTTAAAGCTTAAAGCTTGATATTAAGTGAGCCTACTGAATAGAATGCTAGGGAGGGTTCGCGTGTATTTAGAACTTCAGAAAAAAATCAATCATTATGATGTAAACTAATAATGAACTGTGTGTATTTTATCCTGATGTAGACTTGTAGTCGCACTGAACCATTTTCTCCCTATTTTCTCAAAAAAAACAAAAAAAACAATTTCTCCGTGCAGTTGCAGGAAACTCCACTACAGTTGTAGTTGTAAATGCTACCTGTAACCATGGTTACATGAGATTTAGACTCCTTCAGAATCATGCTTATGTGCTTCTTAAACAGATAATATTAGTTAAAATGCAGATTTAGAATTGAAATCAAGTTTCCATACTTCATAGCACACGTAGAAACGATTAACTGATTCTGAGAGGGAGTCGTATACTCAAGCTTATCTCAATATATTACTTACAAAGTCCTCATAAAATTGTGAGGCAATACATTCGCCATATTCCTACTAAAGGCATTTATACAACATACTTGAAAAAATTGGTGGCCAAGACAAAATCAAACGCTCAAGTAGGCATTCTATCGAATGTTTACGAAATGGAGAGGAAAATAAAATGGGTCCTGCTTCACTAAATACCTTTACATATCATACATATGTAGCCAATGGAGGCATAAACCAGCGAGAGAGGAAGATGAAAGTGGTCCAGAACTCATGTATCACCACTTGAGTTCACACTTTCTTGCAGGTCAACTTGGCCTACATCACAAGGACAATAGTCAGTAGAACATAAAAATCAATACTTCCAGCTTTACCTATGATTACTGATGGCAGAATGTTATTAAAAAATTAGAAAAGAAAGTCAAACTACAGAGTTAAACCATATAGAAACCGAGCATTGTTGCTCAAAATAAAAATTGCTAAAAGAAAGGGAAAAGGATTTCTATTTGTAGGAATTTGCAAGATTATTTAGATATTTGAAATTTAAAACTATCTGACAATGGGTATATTGTTTTTCAACTATGAGTTCCAACCTTATATGGCAGGCTAGAAATTCGGAAGTTTTGGAGGTAAGTAAATCCTAGTGCATTTTAGAAATGTGCCTTTCATCTTATTTTAACCACTCGTCTCTCTTTTTGTCTAAGATGAAGTTTTACCACAGTTTATTGTGGTGACTGGTGAGTTCTTTTTATGTCAGCGAAATTAATGGTTATATTTAGCTCTTCATCTTCAAGATCAATATTGTACATATATCCATCCTTCAGTTGTTAGAGCTATTTGACATTTGACATATAAATAATAACTTCAACCAATTAAATGATGTTAACTATACCAAACAAGGACTTAAGAGATGGCATCTTTGAAGAACCATTCGACCTCATATCTGTACCAGCAATCAAAATGAATGGTAACGAGTCCAAACAATCACTATAGCAAGATAAAACAATGGCAGTATATAATATATATGCATACACCAAAGTCATTTCTATTTTGTATGAAAGCAATTTTACATGATGCTTGTCCTTTCAAGAAAATAGTGGGGCAATAGATTGTAATTTAAATCTTCATGCCACACAACACCAAAGAAAGAAAACTTGGATTTTCCAGAAATGCAATACCTTTAGAGAGCAGGTGACAGGTTTTTTGCTAGAATTCAGTATATCCAAGGATTATATTTAATGGTTAATGTAACTAATGTGAACAGTCTTATGTTGGCATCCATTGGATGTATGGAAATGCAGACTATTGGGAAGAATCTGCCACAACATCCACTTCAGGATTTGTGTGGCACACTTCTGAAAGAAGGGGGTTGTGCATTGTCCTGAAGAACTTTAACAGAAAATGCAAGAAAACCAAATGTGTTTTTGTGTGACAGAGAGAGAGAGAGAGAGAGAGAGAGAGAGAGGGGCCTCCTCACAGACTCCAAAAGTTGCAGAAGAAACATTTCAAACAAGAGTTGTGATTAAAGCACATCTCATTTTTGATAAATGGGGGCACACCCCAACTGAATAGGACAAAAGTGATGTTTTGAAAAGATGCATACCCCTGTGCACTTGTTTACTATAATAGGGATATCTTCGTCTTTTCATAAGGGACGTGCTCCATTTACCAAATTTGGAATATTCCCTAATCATCCCTCCAAAACAACATTCTTAACTACTCTAAAAGATTAAAAAGAAAACAATTATTTATAGAGAGACACGAAATTCCATCCCTGCTTGTTACCTAATATAATAATGAATGAAATAAAAAATACAAAATGTCTTCCAGCATATTCTTGGAATATTCTCTTTGGCATCTTCTATTCTGGTTCGAGAAGTCAGATCAAACATGGGCCGGGCTAGGAAGCCCATTAGCCTAAGGTGAGGACTGGTCCAAAAATTGAAGGCCTAAAATAGATTGCTAGACTTGTGCAACTGTTGGTCTAGGGCATTAACCCGACCTATATTAAGGATAATATTAAGATCATTAAAAACAATAACTTTTCTCAGTTAAGATGACCTTAAGACCACATGATCCATGGCAAGATTGAGTTTCTTTTGTACAGGAAATGAGAAATGAGAAACATGACAAGCTGCAATGTAGGTTACCAACAAGAAGGATATGATTAGAATGCATGTTTCCAACATTTAAAGATTTTTCTTTTTTTGATAGATATCAACAACACTTAAGTTGGTACTAATAATATGCATACATCCATTGCAGAAGCTATAGAAGTAAAACATGCGGACAAAAGAACTCCATTTGGGTGCATAAGCCAGCTTGATGCAAGCCATTTTGTTTCAAAATTCCCAAATAATCAGTCTAGGAAGACCTCATGCTCTACCTAAATATTTCTAGTCCACCAAGCACAGCTCGACAATTTAGGTTTCCATTTTCCAATAATTCTATTAGTTGTTGGAATTGTTATCTTAAACAAATCTGTTTAAATTAGCAATGTTGGTCAAAATGTGATGCAAAAAGAGGGATAGTCAAGAAAATAGGAACACAAATTGAAAGTAACAACATTTAGTTTTTACATTTCTTAAGTTAACAAGCAATAAGTTTAAATTGTTTCAGAAATCTATCAATTTGATTTTTGAGAGAGTATTGCAGATGTTTAAGCATGATTTTCAAGAATTGAAAAGAAGAATCTTAAGTAGGGTTACTCTGAAAATATACTCACCATCTCAGATAATATTGTTAGCTAAACACACTTATCTACCACATGGTTTCTTGATTTCCATAAATTCTTCTTCACAAGGTTTACACACCTTAAAAAGATCTCCAAAACTCTAATCCTCTACACTGGTTAGTGACAAAAAATTGACCAGCAAGGACAGCAGCCATTTGGATGCATGGGGTGGCAGAAGGAATTTATCATTGGCAGTGGTTAACTGCTGCAGCAGAGAGTAATAACAAACCTGAAGTACTGATGGAGTTTATCATGTCTGACTTCTTGAAAGTAAACCCTAAGAAATTTGCATCTTTTGATGTCAACATCTGCAATATCCAGTGTGGACCAACATAATTGAAAGGAGAATTTGATGTTGAAAATAGTAGATTCTTCAACAACTGAAACAATACCTATACTAACCAAGATAAAGTGCAATAACAGTGCATGTGTACATTCACACACATACATATGCTTGTAGGAGAGGAAAGATTTGAAGGGTTCTACATATATATATGGTAAAAATACCTCTAATATTTGTTACAAGAAGATAATAATGACTGATAAATATGTAAGTCATTTAGGCAGTGACAGAAAAGTGGTTATTTGTCCATTCATGTGTCTACTTCCGAGTATCCATTATATATCTTTCTATTTTCTGGAATAACAAGATTCCCATCTTCTATTTAATACAAGTAGACCCCTCATCACATGCTACAAGTCCAATAGAGATATTTTAAGACAAACACACTATAACTTTCACTTCTTCCAGTAAATCTGATGGTACATAAGCTTTCTTGAGCATTCTATCATCAAAACATGCCACCTAGTATTGTTATCCAATATCAAGTTTCCAAGTAACCTTATTGGTTGCATATAGTTGGGAATGGTGAAACGTGTAGCTGACCCCATATAGTTAAGATGGGGCTTAGATGATGACAATGATGATGGTTACATATAGAATTATAGTCTACCCCCAAGAGGAAAGATTTCTTATTGAAATTTATGTGCATTCCATGGAGTCAGATGGAGAAGAAAATAGCAAAAGGGAAATAAAAACAAAATCTGATAAGAGATATCTAGAGAGCTAGGATGGCTGAAACCTATTTCATATTAAAACTAAAAAAAAAAGAAATAACTCCTAATACTAAACTGTATATTAAAGATTTATAAAATAGGAAACTCCTACTACTTAAATGATCAAAAAATAGATTTAAAGTCTTCATAACTATGAAAATAAATTAGGAAAAGGAAATCTGAAAACTTTAGATCTGGCATAAACATAAAACCAAAGAAAGTGGAAATTTTGAAATGTTCTTAAAAATTATCATTCCAGCACGTAAGGGGGTCTTGTTTTCATGGTTGTGTTTGTGGTTCATCTGGTTCACAAACACAACTAGTGTTCTAAAGGACATTTTCATTTTGTTGCTGGTTCTTGAACCACAAAACTATGGTTTCAGAACCAGAAAAGTCCCATGTTTTGAACACTATAGAAGATAGATTTTTTAACACAACCACATGGTTCAGAAAGAGGGATAACGTGGCCAAGTGATTGTGTATCTTGGGCCATATCCCAATATTGCACAAAATGCGATATATATTTTATACACATGACAAAATATAAAATTATATACTTTATAACATATTATATATTATTTTTAATATTAAATATATATATATATAAATCAAGGATTTAAATATCAACGCTATATGTCCGGTACGGGGTGTATCGTATCGATATCAGCTAGGGGGGTATAGGACATGCTACAACTAGGCACATATCCCTTGAACCTCTAAGCCAACCTTCATCTTATGACAATAAATGAAATAAAATAACTTTTATCAATTCTAATGTCCACATGTTATCTAGACAAATAACATATATTTATGTTCAACAACTCCAACTAAAGATTTAAAAAAAATAATATTCAAAATTAGTATTTTGTAAACTAATGGAATAAATAATCTCAAATCCACATTTATATCAAAAAGTGGTTTTTAATCTCAAAAAATTTATGCAAATAAAAATATTAAAAATAGAATAATTAATTAATATTGTAATATTGCAATTAATAATAGAATAATTAATTAATATATATCTTAAAACTTTTATAAATTATTAATTAATATTGTAATTTGCATTAAATAACAACATATTTATTATTTACAAAAATAAAAATATTGTTTACAAAATACTCGAGAATATAATATAAATTGAATTTGTCAAATCCACTAATCTACTTTTATATCAAAAATGATTTTTTTTATTTTATAAATTTATAGAAATAAAAATATTAATAATGGAATAATTATTTTAGTTATTAAAAATTATGAATTTCAATATGATATGTATCTTAGAAATTTTAATATATGATATATTTTAAGTTAAGATTATATATTTTTATAAATTACTAATTAATATTTTAATAAAAATTAAAAATATTAAAATAGAAAGTAATTGATATAATTATTCACATATAATAGTTGCATATGTTTCTTGAACTCCAATAGAAAATAACATAATAATAGCTTTGTGCATGTATTAATTTGTAAAAATATATATAATATGTTCTAGGACTATTCATTGATAAATTATTAATAAAATTGTATGATTTCTATGCACCTTGCTATATTAATTGTAATATATTTCTTCACATATACCATTAGAATATACGTTTCTATATATTTATACATTAATTATGGCTATTTTAACCTTGAATATAATGTTATAAATATATTTATGGAATTTACATGCAGTTCCCAATGTATCCTAGTATATCCATGTTTTTCGTCCGTATCCATATGTTTCCAAAGCATATCCATATCTGTATCCGAGTGGTCCAATACAATACCCAAGACCGATACTTTAATCCTTGGTATATATATATATATATATAAACATATATTATGTTTTAATGTATTATATATTATTATTAACATTTGATAAATAAATAGCCATATGATCATAGTTGAATGGTGATAGATGAATTGCTTTTACATGTGAGCCACACAAAAAAAATCTGACAATGAGTTGAGTCCAAAAAATGAACCATGAATAGAACAATGCCTGTGGTTCTATATGATTCAGAATACAACCACAACCATACATAGCAGAACGCCTATGATGATTCAAAACTAATATTTTCATTTTCAAAAAGAGGTGATTTGGTTCTGTAACACAACACTACTTTTTTTGAACCAGGACCGAACACCACCAAAATCATTTTCCCCTGGTTTGAAAATTCATTTTCAAGTCTGTTAGTTGTAGTTGGAATATGCTGATATTTTTATTAATTTACAATATCTTTGTAATTCAAAACTATTATTATTTTTTATTGGAAACAGTAACTTCATTAATACAACTTAAGAATAACTTTCCAGAGTTAAGTACAGCTGTCAACCCCTAAACAGGTGTTGAGCCCCCAGTAATCTACTGCCCAGAACATTCTCTCCCTCACAGTCCCTTGTTTAGCCAACGGGTCAGCTAAACCATTAGCTGATCTCCTTGTCAATTTGAAGCATGCACTGATCTCCCTTGTTGTGTTGAGGATTTCCCTTATGGGCTGTCTATAAATCCAGGCTCCCAACTTATCAGATTGCAGCCGCTCAATCAACAATTTAGAGTCTCCCTCTATCTCAATTTGGTGCAACCCCAATTGTTTGGCATATATTACCCCAATTCAAAACTATTATTTCTTAATCCCCTTTATGTTGTGTTGAAATAACTTAGTTTATTTTTAGTGCCGCAAGGGCACCTTTGTAATTTTCTCTTTATTTTTTTATGTATGGTCGCCCTAGTATAAATACTAAACAAACTGACACCACCAATTGACTTTCCTCACTCAATTCTGGTTATCTTTTCTCTCTTCTCTCTTCTCCTTCTCTTCTCCCTGTTCTGGATTCATATCATCTCAGCACCAAGAAAACATGGTATCAGAGCGGCAGATCCAATCTTAGGACCAGGGCGGCACTTCTTTCCTTTTTTGTCTATTGGTGATCGAACCAAAGAACAAGATCTCTGGTGGACGTGTGAGGAAACTCACTGCAAGATTGTTCTTTTTCCTTGGTCGTGAGCCCAGAAACTATCAGAAAAAAAATATATCAAATGCTGTGAGTTTTTTTTTTAGTTTTTCTTCCTCAGTTTGTGGATCGAACTGATCCTTTTGTACCCAGATGAGTGGGTCTAATGACCTGCGACTGGTGTGAGTGTCTTCTCTCATTGTATGTGGATTGAGTGATCCTTATTATGCCTAGAAAGGTGTTACTGCTTCAATACTACAGATCTGTACCTGCTGTGACAACAGTTTATTTCCTTCTTCTATTCATATTGAACCTAAGTTACTGTGTGAAAGCTGTTTTGTTGCTAGAGGGAATGGTCAGATCTGTTTTTTGATATACCTTACACATCTGAAATGGTGTGTGATCAGTCTGAAAGGGTTCAGTAGGGCCGAAATCTGAGAACAGTAATGGTGTGTGACCAGCTGTGATTTCTTTGTGTGAGAACAAGTTTATTTTTTGGTCCAGAAGTGTGGCTGAATTGAGACTGCAACCTGGTTTTTTGACTGAAGTAAAAACTTGTTCTCTAGCTGGTTTGTGACTGATCAGATTTAGCTTCTATGTCTTCAGAAGATTCTGGTATGTCTAGTGTTACCTCTAGTCAGAGTGGGATGAGCGGAGGTTTTGACATGAGTTTTCCCATGGCTCTGATTCCCTTTGATGGCCTCAATTACCTAGAATGGTCAAGGGGAATCAAGCTCTACATAACTGCAAGGGGAAAAGCAGGGTATATCAATGGCAGAATCAGAGAACCCAGTCTAGTGGTGTGGAACATGATAGGTGGGACCAGGAAAACAGCATGATGATGTCATGGCTGTTATTGTCTATGCTGCCACAAGTGAGAAAGACCTTCATGTGGGCAGAAACAGCTCATGAGATATGGAAGCAGGCACAGTCTACATACTCCGAACAACGGCATTATGCTAAAATATATCAATTGCAGGCTGCCTCCTCAACTTGTAAATAGGGGGAGAGGAGTCTCTCCATCTACTATTCAAACCTGACTTCTGTTCGGAAGGAACTAGATCACTATCAGAATATAGACTGGAAGTGTGATGCAGATGCCAAAGCATACAAGTCTCTGGTTTCCCAGCAACGAGTGTTTGCCATTCTCTTAGGGCTGAATCACATATATGAATCTATCAGGGTTCAGATATTGGGGGGTAAAGACCTCCATCAGTACAAGAAGTATATGCTCTAGTACAGCCAGAAGAGAGCAGACGGAATGTGATGAATAATCCTGAGGGAGAGCATGTTGCTTTAGCAACTAAAGGGAGTGTTACTATGGGTGGTGGAAATTCCTTCAAGAAGAGTGACTTCCAGAAGAAAGTTGATGACAAAGATAAGTTATGGTGTACACATTGTCAGAAGTCTAGGCATACTCGAGAGACATGTTGGGAGCTTCATGGGAAGCCGAAGTGGGCTTGGGAAACGAGTAAAAAGCAGAATCAACATAAGAAGCAAGGACAACAAGGTCAGAGGAAGTTTCATGCAACAAACAAGGTCAGAGGAAGTTTATGAGTCCTTTCGGGACTGATTCGAGGGAAGATATCATTAATTCTTTCTGTGACCATTTGGAGTTATATGGGAGGGCAATCCGCCAGATGGATTCTGCTTCTCCACCCACGACTTCCTTTGCATCTACATCAGGTAACAGTAATTCTGCCACAGCTTTCCATGTGTCCTCTCATCCCTCAGACTCCCCTTGGGTAATAGATTCTAGAGCCTCGAACCATATGGCGGGTAAGTCCAATTGTTTTCAATCTTATCATCTTTTATCTGGTCGGGACAAGGTGAGACTTGTTGATGGTTCTTTCTCCACCATAGCTGGTCAAGGAACCATCTTCCTTCTTCTTGGACTCACCCTCTCTGATGTTCTACATGTTCCTAAACTGCCCATAAATTTGTTCTCTGTTAGTAGTATAACAAATTCGTTGAAATATTCGGTAACCTTTTTTCCTTCCTCTTGTATGATATAGGATTTGGCCTCGGGGAAGACGATTGGTAGAGGTCGTATGATAGATGGTCTTTACATGCTGGAGAATAAAGCTTGTCAGTCAAGTCCTGTTATGGCACAGTCGTTTGGGTCATTTATCTTTTGAGTCATTGAAAGTTTTGTTACCATATTTATTTAAATCAGTGTCAGTGTCGGATTTCACATGTCAAACTTGTCAGTTAAGCAAACATTGTAGAAATCACTTTACTTCAAAAAATAATAAATCTGATTTTCCTTTCCATATTGTTTATTCTGATGTCTGGGGCCCTGTTACTTTAACATCCAAGTCTAGCTATAGATATTTCATTACACTTATTGATGACTACTCCCGATATACATGGGTGTACCCTATGCGGTCCAGAGACGAAGTACCAAAAATCATTAAAGATTTCCAACGCCTGATATTCACTCAGTTTCAAATGGAAATCCAAATTTTCCAATCAGACAATGCCAAAGAATATTTCCATAGTGATCTCACAGAGTTTTTTGCTTCGTGTGGATCCATAATCGTAGCTCTTGCGCTAGAACCCCCCAACAAAATGGTGTTGCTGAAAGAAAGAATCGTCACCTCCTTGAAGTTGCTCGCGGGTTACTTATACACATGAATGTTCCTAAACGTTTCTGGTTGGATGTTGTGTTGTGTGCTGCATATCTCATCAACCATATGTCATCTCGCTTGTTAGGGTACAAGGCCCCCCATCAGCTTCTTTTTCCCAAGGCCCCCTATTCTCTATTCCTATCCGTGTGTTTGGTTGTCATTGTTTCGTCCAAAACCTTTCTCCTACTTGTGGAAAACATGATCCTCATACCATTCCTTGTGTCTTCTTGGGTTATCCTTCTTCCCAAAAGGGCTATCGATGCTTTGACCCCGTTTCCAAGAAATACTATGTCTCTACGGATGTATTTTCTTTGAAAGTAATCCTTTTTTCCCAGTTTCTCCTCAGGGGGAGAGTAAGGTGGAGGAGAAACCAGTTCAGGTTGTTCTCCCTCCTTTGCCTGACCCTCCTCTATTCCGTGTTTTTTGTCGTCGCAAGTGCCAGCTAAATTCAAGAGCTATGGAGCAACTTGAAACTGTACTATCATTCCTATTGATGTTCCTGATCCTCTTGCCATAGATATTCCATCTAGTGATGACCTTGACATTCCCATTGCGAAAAGGAAGAGAGTTAGGTCTCATACCAACAAGTATCCTATTACCCACTTTGTTACCTATGAAATCTCACCCTCCTTTCATGCTTTCATTTCTTCCATTGACAGTGTCCCTATCCCCAAAAATGTGGCAGAAGCTCTCTTAGTACCTGAATGGACAGATGCAATGAAAGAAGAGATAAATGCCCTACATAAAAATGGTACGTGGGAAATAGTAGATCTTCCTGAGGGTAAGGAACCGGTAGGGTGCAAGTGGGTGTTCACAATGAAGCACAAGGCTGATGGCGCGATAGAAAGGTACAAGGCTAGGTTGGTGGCAAAAGGGTTTAACCAAGTATATGGTGTAGATTATGCAGAGACTTTTTCCCTAGTAGCCAAGATGAACTCTATTAGAGTCCTTTTCTCCCTTGCGACAAATCTTGATTGGGATCTTCATCAACTAGACATTAAAAACGCCTTCCTGAATGAAGGCCTTGAGGAAGAGATGTACATGGTCCAACCTCCTGGCTTTAGTGCCCTAGGCAAAGAGCAGAAAGTGTGTAGGCTAAAGAAGTCTTTGTATGGTCTAAAGCAATCACCGAGAGCCTGGTTCAGCAAGTTTCATCTCGCTATATAGCAGATTGGCTACAAACAATGTCAGACTGACCATACTCTATTTGTGAAAAGAAGGGAAGGAAAGATTGCAGCCTTGATAGTGTATGTTGACGACATAGTGATCACAGGTGATTGGAAGGTTGAAATTCAGAGACAAAAAGATTTCTTAGCCACTCAATTTGAGGTGAAGGATCTAGGTCCCCTTCGATATTTCCTTGGAATTGAAGTGGCCTACTCTCAAAAGGGAATCTTCATTTCTCAGAGGAAATACATCCTAGATCTGTTACAGGATACAAGAAAACTAGGGGTTAAGCCAGCCAACTCTCCCATTGATCCAAATCACAGACTGGGTGACTATTCTGGTGAAGTTGTCAAAGATGTAAAACAATTCCAAAGACTTGTGGGAAGGCTACTGTATTTATCCATGACCAGGTCAGACATTGCTTATGTAGTAGGTGTTCTTAGTCAATTCATGCATGCTCCTAAGACCACACACTTAGAGGCAGCAGAAAGAATACTTAGATACCTAAAGAGGTTTCCTGGAGCTGGTTTATTATACCAAAAGAATGGTCATTTGAAGATTACAGTATATACAAATGCTGATTAGGCTAGATCAATTGATGACATAAAGTCTACTAGTGGGTATTGATCCTTTGTGGGAGGAAACCTAGTCACATGGAGAAGCAAGAAACAAAATGTGGTGGCTAGGTCTAGTGCTGAAGCTGAATATAGAGCAATGTCCCATGGGGTGGCTGAAGGCATGTGAATAAAGAATATGTTGAACGAACTAGGTTTTCCTGTTGATGGCCCTATGTCCTTGTATTGTGATAACAAGGCTGCCATCAATATTGCAGCCAACCCAGTTTTTCATGATAGAACTAAGCATATAGAGGTCGACAAACACTTCATTAGAAAGAAAATTATTAATGGGGAAGTGTGCACCCCATATGTGAGTTCCAAAGAGCAACTGACAGATATATTAACAAAAGGCTTACATCACTTATGGCACGATGATTTATGTGACATGTTGGGCATGATTTACATCTATGTCCCAACTTGAAGGGGAGTGTTGAAATAACTTAGTTTATTTTATGTTTAGTGCCGCAAGGGCACCTTTGTAATTTTCTCTTTATTTTTTTATGTATGGTCACCCTAGTATAAATACTAAACAAACTGGCACCGCCAATTGACTTTCCTCTCTCAATTCTGGTTCTCTTTTCTCTCTTCTCTCTTCTCCCTGTTCTGGATTCATACCATCTCAGCACCAAGAAAACATGTTGTTTTTAACCTTTTCTTTCTTTTTTTATCTTTTCCCTTAGTCAAAGGGACTAGGAGAAAAAGGTTACTTTTGCTAATATTAAGTTTCTATTTGGACATTTATGTCATATGGGCAAAGCCAAGAGTCTGGAATCTTATCAAAATATATGCATGTATGCTGAGTTGAGAAAAAATGAACCACAATTCTATGTTGTGCTGCATGTCCATGGTCTTGACCCACATTTTGCTTTCTCATTTTAAATTTTCCTTCAAATTTAGTGGCTTCCAGTCTTCTTTGCATGAAAGGAAGCTAATTTCTCATTAACTCTTTGCTCTTCTTTTAACTGTTATTGGGTCATTTCTTCTGTGTTAGTGGGCATTTAATTCTTGTAATGCCTAATACGTCTTTCTATAAGAAGGCCTCTGTTCCCACCTCTAAGTGCATAACAATCATCTTCTTTTTTGCTCTGCAAGTCTGCATTTTATTTTTTAATTTTGGACATATATTGGATGGTTCACTAGAGATCATTGATTTTGCAAGTATAGGCTTCAAGGATACAAATGTTGCACCCTAGAGATCGATCCCTTAACCTTATGCACCAAAGACCCTGATCTGAGAGGGTGTGTGTGTTCAACTTCAAATCTGTGGCTTCCATACCACACCTCAGCCTATAAGTTCATTCTATCTCCATATATTATTATAAATATTTCTCATTGTGTTCAATCATTATTTATCTAACAATATATAGTCATTTCTGGTTGGGAGAAGATGAATCTGATTTTACTCAGATTATAAAACCTCACAAGTTCTCATGTAGCACATAAGGCTCAAAATTAGGAGATCTCTACAAGTTCAAGTTTCTCTTGATTTTAACATCACAAGGTACTCTTCTGATTCTTGGAAGTTTTTTCTATTAATTATTATTTGTAGTATTAACAAATTATTATTTTCAGTAAACTTCATTAAGCTACTTCAGCTGGCTGCACTCAAGTGTCTTGCGAGTAAATGGACATGCACTATGAACCTAATCTCCAAAAAGCATATTTAGAAAACCATTTGGATCATTTAGAGTGGTTTTAAATATCCATGACGGAATATGACGGGGATGTAACATTAAGTGATCTCCTCAACTGAGTTGTCATAGGCAATACATCAATTGATTTATACGATAAAATTCAGCAATCTGAGGTAGATCAAAACAAAATGGAGACAAGTCAAATAATCCAGTACCTTGCGCCAGGGTCCTACTCTTGGCAATGCTGATGATGGGCATTCTACCTATAAGGAGCAAACACTTAGCACAGAAAATTTAAAGCAAGATAAGAAAAAAATCAACATCTATGAGATTACAAACAAGGAATAAGGATAAACGTCATATGAGAATCTCAAGTCAAAGAAGGTGTGATATAGAGGGATTAAATAGAGCACAGAATAATAATATTTATAATAGCATTCACTAAAAGGGGATACTACAGTTATCATATGGCTGGAGTACTCACTTCATCAAACTTCTCAAAATTCTGGGTATCTAATTCCCCATTGACAGTAGGTTTGTAGGCAGCTTCCATCTCATACAGCATATCCCACTGAATGCCTCTAAACCATGGATGTGCCTGAAGAAATACTTAAAGACTTGATACAAGCATTTCACTACCCTACTTGAAGATAAGGGGAAAGAAACAACTAGCTGCATCTGAATAAAATCTATAAATCTATTGCATTTTAACTTCAATGGTTTATGAATAATAGAAAGCAACATGCATAAATGAGTCCAAGCTTAAGAATAGAACCTCTAGCATCTAATAAATTAATTATTAATGTATGCTATGCAAATTCTTAATACATCAAAGAAGGAAACCAGATGTTACTAACAACTACTGCCAAACTTATTCTGTAACATAAAAATATCAAACAGATATTTACCTTGATTTCTTCCACTCCTCTGGTCCCCAGCCTTGTTTCAACATCACATAGCAAGTGATAGATCAGATCCTTAGCTTCATCTGATATTTTTGGTTCACCAGGGAATTTCAAGCATGTTTTCCAGTTAATTATCTGATACATAACAACAATAATCATTTTGTTGCTTGAAAGAGGTGCAAAATGGGATAATGCATGGTTCTTGGGGTGTACCTAAGGAGCAAGAGAATGTGTTTACCTTTCGACAAGTGATCCTTGGGTTATCAGAACAAAAGGGAGGATAGCCTATGAGCATCTCATACATTATTGCACCCAGAGACCACCTGAAAAACACAAAAAAAAAAGGTAAACTAACTAAAGAGAACAGAATATAGTAGGTAAGAAGAAATTCATAAATTAATTTCATATCATACCCAGTGGAGTTCCCCATTATAAGCTATCCTTCACATAAACCACATCATACGGAGATGAATAGAGTGCATAATGTTAAACAGGACATTTTGCTATATCTAAACTAAAATGCTCAAATATATATACTGGATATTAAATATACCAGCAGTATACATGCTACAATAAGGCTGCAACTTGGTCCGGACTCGGGTTGGGTTCATGCTCGGGTTAGGGTTGAAATTTATGAGCCCAACTTTACTTCGGGTTGGGTTAGGGTTGGCCCCTCAGGCAACCCGACTCTATAGTACATATCATATATAAATATATGTTATATATATGATATCATACATTGATTTGTTTATATGCATGATAGTTGTATAGCCCCCTACTACATACTATCATTTACTTCTTTTAAGATAATCACTTCACTTAATCCTAATTGGAAATACCAAAACCTTAATAACATTTGATATGTTTTTTGAATATTTTATTCTTTATCTCCTCTTTGTTGTTTGCCACCCATAGCTTACTGCTCATAAAAGATCCATTATAAGCTATAACTCATAATAAACTATAATCATTTCAAACACTTTTTTTTTTAATTTTGTACTTAAAGAACTGATAAAAACATCAACAAACAAATACTAATAAAACATAGGATTAATATATGTAGTGAAAGTTGAGTTAATATCTGAGATTAAGAAGTTCTACGAGATTTTAAGGGGTGGGAAGAAGGTTGGGTTGGGCCCAACCTGAGCCCAGCCCAACCCGAAGGTGACTCCGGGTTGGGTTGGGTTAGGGTTGAAGGAATTTAGCTAGGTTAGGGTTAGGGTTGGGAGTTTAGAACTTAGGGTTGGGCTAGGGTTGGCCTCAACCCAACCTAACCCGGCCCGACTTGCAGCCCTATGCTACAACATATAGAGCTGACATAATTTACAAATATGAAAAGAACTGAAAATGATAGGTATACCATAGGGCCTGCAATGCTTTATTGCCTTTGTGGAATATTATAAGTAGCAGCATAGTTATAATGACCATGACACCCTGCTACTTCATAGTTTGGAGATGACTTACTGTCTTGATTTAAGGGTTTTCTTTTTAATTGAACAGATCTGGTTTATTTAGTTTTTTAAGTCATTTTACAATCTTAACATTTTTCATGTCAAAAGAAACTTGAGAAGCAAGGACATTCAGAGTCTTCTCACTACAAAATCAAGGCAGCAGGCATACAAACTTTCTAGTTTATAGTAACAAGGCATCCTCTGTCTACGACTTCTAACCCACATATTTGTGTGTGTGTGTGTGTGGATATGAAATGAAATATATGAATATGTAATATATAAATATTATATATATATGCATGCTACAAAGGATTTGGTAGAGAGCTCCTAGATTCAAAAGTTGGCCCTTTCTTAACAGCTAGTTTTTTATAATAAAAAGAAAAAAAAAAAGAATAGAAAGGAAGGTGACCAGCAGTCACCCAAGAGAAGGAAAAAACAAACTTCAACTCCAAACAACCATCCCCCACCCCTTTACAAAAACAAACAAGCCACAAAACAAAAGAAAACAAACACCACTAAAACACGACCCTCACACATGAACAAAACCCTACATCATAAGAGATCCAAGTCTCCATCTCCTTGTTTAGGAATCTCTTAGATTCTCCTACCACCTTTCCTCACCTTCTTAGTAGGCCCAACTCCAAACAAACCCCTTTTAAGTCTTACAAACTGTTATGTTTGTGCCTTGAATTCTTTGTCGTGACCCGCTTTTTGAATCCACCCCGAAATAATTTGAGAAAAACACGAAGGCAAAATTTCATAATGGTTTGTGGTGGAGGCGTAAACCTGTAGCCCACCACAAATCACCATTGGGGGTGCGGGGGTGTAGCCCCCGTGGCAGTATGGACCCGATCCATATTCAGCTTATAGGTCCGAACTGGATATGAAGAGTTATGTATTTTTCGGGGTTTTTTTCTCTTCCATACTTTGTCTTTGTCTTGTGAGAGTGTGTGAGACATTGGGTGTATTTTGGGGTTTAGGGTTTGTTCTGTGAGTGAGATTGTGAATGCACAATTCTGTATTTTCTTCTCCATTGCTGGCTACATAGTGGATTTCTACTCCTCATTCACCCGTGGACGTAGGCTATAAGCCGAACCACATAAACCTGTGTGTTCTTTGTGCTTACTTCTCTTTATCTCTGTTTTACTTCATTTTGAGTGCCATTCGAATCGGTTTTTCTTGGGTTTTTGTAACAAACTGGTATCAGAGCCCTATTTTTTGTTTGGCACTTGCAATGTCATCAATGAAGTTTGATATTGAGAAGTTCGATGGTAACATTAGTTTCAGCATTTGGCAAGTCAAGATGCATGCCATTTTGGGACAAGACGGACTACACAAAGCTCTATACGGGAAGGGGAAGAAACCTGTAACTATGAGTGATGAAGAATGGGAGGATTTAGATTTTAAAGCCCTAATCATGATTCAGTTGCTGCTATCAAACGAAGTTCTGCGAGAAGTCATTCATGAGAAGACTGTTGCGGGTTTGTGGCTGAAATTGGAGTCTCTATACATGTCAAAATCTCTTGCTAGTAAGCTTTACTTAAAGCAACAACTATTCCTATTTCGTATGGCTGAAGGTACACCTATCAAATCTCATATTGATGGGTTTTACTCTATTATCATGGATTTGCAAAATATTGATGCTAAGGTTGAAGATGAAGACCAAGCCCTTTTGTTACTATGTTCCTTACCACCCTCATATAAGTCTTTCAGAGAGTCACTCATCTATGGAAGAGACACCATTAGTACTGAAGATGTTAAAAAAATCATTACTCTCTAAAGTGGTCATTGATAAAAACTTGACTATAAATAGGGGTGATAGTCAAGACTCTGGATTGCTTGCAAGAGGGAGGTCTAAGGATAAGGGCTCAAATAGTAAACCGAAGTCTAAATCGAAATCTAGACATAATAAGAATTTGACCTGCAACTACTGTCACAAGAAAGGACACATTAAGTTAGAATGCTATGAGTTGAAAAAACAAAAACCATAATGAAGAAAAGAAAAAGAATTAACTCTGCAGAGGTTGGTGTGGCCAAGGATGAGAATGTTGATGTTCTCTTAGTGACAGATGACAGAACCAGACCCAAGGATGAATGGATTCTGGATTCAGGTTGTTCCTACCATGTGTCCCAACAAGGATTGGTTCTCCACCTACAAATCTATCATTGGTGGAGTTGTATTGATGGGTAATAATGCCCCTGTCAAACTGTGGGAAAAGGAACAATTAGAATCAAAATGCATGATGGTGTTGTGAGAACATTGACAAATGTACATCATGTATTGGACTTAAAGAAAAATCGCATCTCCCTTGGCACTCTAGATGCTAATGGGTGTAAGTATTCAACTGAAGGTGGAGTTCTAAAAGTCAGTAAGGGTGCTCTTGTTGTGATGAAAGGCATGAGGATAGGAAGTCTGTATGTGCTACAAGGTACTACTATCACAGGTTCAGTTGCAATTTCTACATCATCTTTATCTGAGTCTGACACCACCAAGTTATGGCACATGAGGCTAGGACATATGAGTAAAAGGGGACTAATTGTATTAAGCAAGAGAGGTCTTCTTTGTGGCCAAAGTACAGGAAAGCTTGACTTTTGTGAACATTGTGTTTTTGGGAAGCAGAAAAGAACCTGCTTTAGTACAACCGTTCACAAGGCGAATGGCACTTTGGATTATGTTCACTCATATTTATGGGGACCATCACAAGTTCCATCAAAGAATGGTGCTCGGTATCTTCTTATCATCATCGATGACTACTCTAGGAAGGTAAGGGTTTATTTTCTGAAGCATAAGAATGATGTATTTATGACTTTTAAACAGTGGAAAACATTGCTTGAAAAGCAAACATGAAGGCAGGTCAAGCGATTGAGAACAGATAATGGTTTAGAATTTTGTGAAAATGAATTTAATGAGTTCTACAAAAATGAAGGCATTGTAAGGCATCATACTATTGTCAAAACACCATAGCAAAATGAAGTTGCAGAACGTATGAACAGAACTCTACTAGAGAGAGCAAGGTGCATGTTGTCAAATGTTGGTCTCTCCAAGGATTTTTGGGCGGAAGCAGTTAATATGACTTGTCACCTAGTAAATCGATCTCCATCTACAGCCAATTTTTTATGAATGAATGGTATTTTATTAAATAGAGATAGAAATAGTACAAGCATGAAGAACCCTAAGAGGAGGCACAAGGTGTTTCCTCCCCTTAAAGGTGGTTCTAAACCCAACTCTTTTCAGATTGCAGTTACAAATTAGTCAAAAACAGAGAATCCCTTGAAGCCCCTTGTTTAGCTAAAGAATCTGCCGATCTACTAAGACACTGAAAGCTAACTGACATGGTTCTCGTAAGCCATTTGACTTTTTTGATGATGTCCTTATATCCCCAAACAACAATTTCTAGGTCCGACATCCATCCCACTATCACCTTGGAGTCTCCTTCAACTATCAAATCAGTCACACCAAGTTGGTTGGTAATATGTAATCCTTGTACCACAGCTAATACCTCAGCCCTTGTAGTCTCCATAACCCACTGGACCTGAGAATAAGGATAGAATGTTGCCATCCTTATTCCTCAAGATCCCTCCTATACCCGAAGGTCCTAGATTGCCTTGACTGCTCCCATCAAAGTTCAACTTTACAACTCCTTCTGGAGGGGGTAACCAACTTGCTTGTGTCCTATTTCTCTTGGATGATGTGGAGGCCACTACTGCCCAACTCCTTCGAAGGTCATCACTAGAGTAATCCGCAAAGAGATCAGTAGTTTTTAGCCAAAGGATTTCCCTTGTCACTATGCAATCCTTTATTTCAGCAATGCTTCTCTCCTCCTGGAAAATTCTGGCATTTCTTTCCTCCCAAGTGGTCCATAAGAGGGCTG